CCACTTCACTTTTTTATTTTCGTGCAAATATCTGGCATTCGGCTCGTAGTGCCATCTTCCACTTAGTTGACTTAAGTGCTTAACGCTCGGCTATAATGCCACTTGCCATTTCACTTTTTTATTTTCGTGTAAGTGTCTGGCGTTCGGCTCGTGGTGTCATTTGCTACTTACTTGGCTTAAATGCTTGGCGCTCGGCTAGAATGCCACTTACCATTTCACTTTTTTATTTTCGTGCAAGTGTCTGGCGTTCGGCTCGTAGTATCATTTGCCACTTACTTGGCTTAACTGTTTGGCGCTCGGCTAGAATGCCACTTGCCATTTCACTCTTTTTTAATTTTTGTGCAAGTTTTTAGCGTTCGGTTTGTAGTGCCATTTGTCACGTACTTGGCTTAAGTGTTTGACGCTCGGCTAAAATGCCACTTACTACTTCACTTTTTTATTTTCGTGCAAGTGTCTGGCATTCGGCTCGTAATGCCATTTGCCACTTATTTGGCTTAAGTGCTTAGCGCTCGGCTAGAATACCACTTGCTATTTCACTTTTTTTAATTTTCGTACAAGTGTCTGGCGTTCAGCTCATAGTGCCATTTGCCACTTATTTGGCTTAAGTGTTTGGCACTCGGCTAGAATGCCACTTGCCACTTCACTTTTTTATTTTTGTGCAAATGTCTGGTGTTCGGCTCGTAGTGCCATTTGCCACTTACTTGGTTTAAGTGCTTAGCGCTTAACTAGAATGCCACTTGCCATTTCACTTTTTTTTTTTTTTTTTTTTTTTAATTTTTGTGCAAGTTTTAGGCGTTCGGCTTGTAGTGCCATTTGCCACTTACTTAGCTTAAGTGTTTAGTGTTCGGTTAGAATGTCACTTGCCACTTTACCTTTTTATTTTTGTGCAAGTGTCTGGCGTTCAGCTCATAACGCCATTTGCCAAGTATGGCTTAAATGCTCCCCCCCCCCCCCCCCCTTTTAATCAACTCTTTGAAACAAACTGAACTCTTTTTATATATCTTGGAGATTCTATACATTTTATAAACGTGTAAATCAAAATAAACATTGCTCAAAATGAAATTCAATTTCTACTAGTAATACCTCTTTAGAGACGTGGCATTCCATGGCTTACTGACCAATCTTCCAGCCATAGTCTCTAAAATGTATGCCCCTTTTCCTATGGCTTCTGCCACTCTGTATGGGCCTTCCCATGGTGACATCATCTTCTTGACAATCCCCACCTTCTTTTTCAGAACCAAATCACCAGGTACAAAGTCTCTATGCATCATATGATACCCCTCGGATCCGAGACACGAGTTGATCAGGTCCAGGCCCAAACCCGAGGGATATCAAACAATTAATATGTTATAACGAACACAGATTACAAAATGAAATAAGAATTAAAATTTAAAAGCTGAAAGAAACTAAAATATAAAATCCTTTAATATTAAATAATTAAAATATCCCAATAATCCAAAACAACCTCCATAGGTTAAAAACTCAGGAATCCAGCTCTAGTAAACCCCTAATAAAAACCCTAAACTGAATGAAAGTAAAACTGAAGATAAAATCCAAATCCAATATCTGGAAAGAAATCCTACATCGTCGATAGAGTGGAAGATCGTCTCTGCTCAGCACGAACAAGCTTAAACTTGGAACTGACGTAGACCTAAAAAATAGAAGTGGGTCAGGCCCACGAACAAGTTCTATCCTGCTACAATCCAAGCAGAGACTCGATACACATGTACATACTAAATAGTTCAACAATAACTAATAATCCATACATAAATATATCCACACTAATAGACTTTCGCTAGACTATGAAGAGGGTCTCAACCTGAATAGAAGGCATCACACAAAACGCACCTGAGTGGGCATGAGTACTTAAGCCTAAACAGGGTATACCTCAACCCTCACAGCTAGCTACATATCCAATTGCATATACGCACCCTAACCGTCGACACTAAGACTCAAGCTCATGTCGCGGTATCATAAAAATATATCTAAACTCCGTTCCTAATCATCCACAAGAAATCCAGTAAGTCGTTTTGCGTATTCAACCGTACCGACTCATAAATATAAGGAGGATTTTATTTAATAACCCATACCCTTACTCTAAAATAGGTAGGACTTTAGCAACTTGTGCTATTCCAAACCTAGTATGACACCGTCCCATACCGGTGCATACAATTCCATCCATCCAACAGTTGATAAGGCATTAACAATTAAATAACAATATCAACAATTCCATATTAAGCATTTTAGAATACATTATCACATATGCTTAAATAAGTCCAGCAGTTGAAGGAGCATTGACAATATAAATATCAATTTCAACCATTCCATGATAAGCATGAAAACATAACAAATATAATATTTACATGCTTATATAACCCCGTTACATAGAAACCATCTCATAGAAACACATCACAGGCACTAATACTTGACCCCATGAAGCTGTGTTTGTAAATATAAATTTACTTCCCAGTATTCATAATTAACAGAGCCTAAATAAATATTAGGTTACTTAGTTCAACAACCTGTATAATAAATTTAGGCAATTTATCATACCGTAAATCTCCTGTCCAACAAATTGATGCATTAAATTTTACAATTTGACCATCAATTAATCTTTAGCAAACTATAGATTTCTAGCATGTATTTCCATTCCACGAATACGTAATTGGCAGTGGACAAGCTCTCACAGAAATTTCTATTATAATTAAAAAATATAAATGTCCGAATACAAACAGGTCTGCAAAGCACATAAGAAAACCATACAGTTTTAACGATTAAAACTCGGTGCTTAAATCTGTATTATTCTATCCCTTGAGACTTTAATCCTACTCTGGACAACCTCTAAAACCTCCACTACAGTACTTAATTCCTCTTAAAAAACTTAAACAAACCATCACCACGAAGCTGTCTCATTGAAAACTGAAGATCACGCTAACAGAATAAGAAAAACTTGAAGAAGCAAAGATGGAGCAGCCTCCAATAAAAAGGAGCCGGCTCCAATCCAAAAGGAGTCGGCTCTTTCCCCTCTTCTTCTTCATGTTTTGTTTTTCCGGCGTCGTTTTCACCTCCGGTACTTCTCTGCCTAGGTTCCCAGAACTTGTAACTGAGTCCCAGTACATTTCCAACCATTGTTTATGTCCTTATTACATTGCTAAGATGGGTTCAAACAAAGAATTATGCAAGAAAGTTTCAAGTTTATACGATTTAGCAGGTATAAAACACATACTGTCATAATTAAAATTCAAACCATGAACCAGGTAACGTTGTTTTATTTTTAAAACATGTAATTCATCCTGGAACTATTAAGTATGCAAAGAACACGAAGCCTAAGGGAGAGAACAATGATAGAACTTGCCTTTGAGACTTTTGTTCAAAATCTCTATGCCGTCTTCGAAGATTCCCTGTAATTCTTACTGAAAAATTCTTTTGTTCCTCTTCTCTGCTTCCAAAGACGTATTTAAGTTTTAAAACCCTAGGTAGAACCTTAGGTGAATATTTATAGGCCACACTAATCATAGGCTCAATTAAACCCTAATCTGACTTTACTCGGCCCATAGAACAACCTAGGTTATAATCAACGTCGGCTTTGAACTGTAAACCTATTACATAACTATCTGTGTGCAACCACCCATACAGTCACGATAAAACATAATTAAATTTAATTAAATCAAGGTAATTAAACAATTAAATTTAAATTCAATTAAATTAATTCAAGTAAAATAGCTAAATTAAACCACTTACATAATTAAATCAATTAAAGCACACTAATGAAAAATTAAATAACTAACTACAATGTCAGTAACAAAATTAACACATAACCACTTCAACAATTAAAAATGCAATTTAAACAATAAAAACAATAAATTAAAATACCAGGACTATCTTTTTGAAATTAGGGATATTATACCTCACTCTTTTGTTGTGACTATTTATAAGTGTATGCTAATAGGATGCAAGCCTTATTGCTGCTGCGTCTCTTTTCTCTTCTAGCAAGTCGAGGTTGAATTTCAATATGTTGTCGTTCTGCTCTTGATTCCATGCTAAGCTTAGAACAGTTGGAATTAAGTGTTCGACCGGTATTACTACCTAGGTGCCGTACACCATAGCGAATGGGCTTTCTCCGGTCGATTGTCTTGGGTTGTTCTATAAGGCCGCAAGACGTTCGGAAGCTCGTCCAACCATTTCCCTTTTTCTTCTTCAAGCTTCTTCTTTATATAAGCAAAGATTGTTCTGTTCGTAATATCAGCTTGACTGTTTGCCTGCGGATGGCTGACCGCTGCTAACTTTTGATTGATTCCATACTCTTCAAGCAATTCCCTCACTTGCTTACTGTCAAGATTAGTCCTATTGTCCATAACAATCGACCTTGGCACACCAAATCGACAAATGATATTACTCCAAATGAAGCGTCTCCCTTGAGTCTAGGTGACGCTGGGATATGGTTCCGCCTCCACCCATTTGGTAAAATAATCTGTTTCAAGCAGAAAGTACTTATTTTGTGATCTCGCGATCGGCAGCGAGCCAACCACATCTATCCCCCATTGCGCGAAAGGCCATGGTTTGGCCATTACGTGCAAGTCTTCGGGTGGTTGGTGGATCAATGGTCCGAACATTTGGCACTTATCGCATCTTCTAGAGTATTCTTTTATATCTCGTGACATGTTCGGCCAAAAGTATCCCTGCGTCACCACTTTGTACGCTAGAGATCTCCCTCTTTAATGATTACCGCATACACCCTCATGGATAGTCCACATGATTTGCCTAACTTCTGTGGAGGTAACACATTTTAAGTACAGTCCCAAGAAAGATCTTCTATATAACTGGTTATGCACTAGGGCATACTTTGCAGCATTCGATCTGATCTTCCTTACTTCATCCCTTTGTTCGGGCAGAACACCATCTAGCATATAAGTTATGATTGGATCGATCCAACTTGGTTCATACAGTATGACATTCACTTGCCAAGGATCCGAGCCTGATGGTTCCTCAAAGATAGATGGCTAGCATAACACACCAATTGGAATCACCCTTGCCAGTGTTTCTCCAGAACTTGACGCACTGCATGCTAACCGATCGGCATCCTCGTTACATTCTCTCGGCAATTGGATGAACTCAATTTTCTCAAAATCTTTTGCCTCATGAATAACGGCAGAACGGTATGCCTCCATTGTTTCATCCTTGGTTCCGTACTCCCCAGTCACCTGCCGAACTATTAGCTGCGAATCACTAAACGCGACTAAGTTTTTGACCTCTAGCTCTTTTGACAACCTCAGTCCCGCCAGCAATGCTTCATATTCTGCTTCATTATTGGTTGCTTTGAACTCAAGTCTAAGTGCTTGACTTAGTGAGGTGCTTTCTGTCGTCTGTAGTTTGATCCTAATTCTTGCCCCCATTTGATTCGAAGAATCATCAATAAAAACCTTCCATAAAGGTCCTCCAGGATTTTCCTCTAGGTTTCCTTCATCACATTCCAGCAGGAAATCAGCCACCGCTTGCCCATGGCCGTTCTGGGTTCATACGTTATGTCAAATGAGCTCAACTCTATTGCCCACTTTGTCATTCTTCCCGATATATCAGGTTTATGCAAGATCACCCATACAGGAAATGTGGTCAGAACGACTAAAGGATGGGATTCGAAATAGTGCCTGAGTTTCCTCTTTGCATTTACCAATAACAAGATTACTCATTCGGCCTTCGAATACCTTCTTTCTGGTTCGGTCATTGTTTTACTGACATAGAACATGAATTGTTTTTCTTCTTCACACCGTATCAGAACGGCGCTTGTTGCAATGCTAAACACTCCAAGATACATAAAGAGTTGGACACTTCAAGATACATGAAGAGTTTTTCACCTGGTTTTGGGGCAGTTAAGACTGGTGGGTTCCGTATGTACTCTTTCAACTTGGTCAGTGCCTGCCTTTGTTCATCCCTCTAAGACTGTTTGTCGTGGCTTCTTATTGTGTTGAAGAATGGCTTGCAGCGATCTGATAGTTTAGAAATGAACATGGTTGTGGGTTCGATTCCCACAGACGGCGCCATTGAAGATGCAAGAAATTTCTCTCTCGATTTGGAAAGAACAACTCTACACTTCAAGAATTTTTCAACCCTCATTTCCTTCTATTTTCTGTCTATTTATAGACTATTACAAACCTTCTAGAAGTTTTCTAACTAACTCCTTGTGCTGGGCTTCCTCTTGGGCTCTTCTTGATCATAGGCCTGACTATTTGGATTGGACCTCCAGCCTGATCTTTCGTTCCTGGGCCCGACCCTTGAGGATCTGATTCGAACCAATGCCACTTACCCGACCCGCTTCTAGCGATCTAGGTCGCAATCGGCCCATGCCGTTTTTGGCATCCTCAATCTACAATTTAAGACTTAATAAGTAGGGGTGCAACTTATCGATGGGTAGGCATGGACCTATGCACAGTTCAGTGGGGCCAATTGCCTAGTCTGCCTCAATTCATATAATTTTTTGAGTCTGTCTCAACTGATGGGCAGCTACCACAACAATATTATTTTCCCATCTTCAAAAAGGAAGGGAGGAGTTCGAGCTAGATAACTTGCACGAGTGACCTAGTATATAAATGATTTTCTCGAGCGAAGCGTAAACTCAACGTCCAAAATTCGATTTTCACTAGGCACAAAACATTTGGGCTTAAATGATTTTTTTTTTTTTTTTTTGAGTAATTGCACACACTCCGGTAATTCCACTTTAATTTATTGCCGTCATTCCTTTTTAATTTTTCTGTCAAAGTGAGCACGTAAAATTGATTGAACAAGAGAGTTTAGGTTTGTCGCCAAACGATGTGAAAATTTATTGTGGAATTAGTTTAATATTTGGACCAAATTAAAGAATTAACGTTGAATTCAAAATTGGCTGCTTCCTTGTGCATGTTCACACGTAGGAAATCACTAAAACGTGAAAAAAAAAATAATAATAATAATAAAATAAAAAAAAAAATATGAAAGCAACCCAACTAACAAATAATAATAATGTTCGCACTTAGGTACCAAGTGTTAATTATTATTGGTTAACCAATTTTGAAAAAGACCACTCATTAATAATAATAATAACAAAAATAAAAGTTAAAATGATATTATAATTTAGGATGCGTTCACACTTGAATGCAAAACAAGTCCCTGTGGATTTGTTTTATGTGAAGAGCATGTGCAATAACAGCGTCATTGTATTGCGCAATCTATCATAAGCTCACGCAGTATGAACAATATTGTGTTGAACAAGTCCAAAATTTAGACCGACTAAACATTGTGATTGGGGGAGGAACACGTACCATAAGTGTGTATATATATGTGTATATATATATATATATTTAAAATATAACATATCTTCGATGCCACTAATTACATTGGCTATTGTAATGATTAGTTGGAGATAAGTGTAGTACACGCATATTAACAATTCAGTTGAAATTTAATATGTGTGATTCGAATTTGAAAGGATTAAGTATTATTCTATTGTCAGTTTTTGGTCTTTTTTTTTTATTAAATAAAGAATAGATCTACGCATCAGGAAGAGGAAAAAAATAAAAATAAAAAATAAAATAAAATTAATACGAATCTCTAACAATCAAATGGTGCGTAGGTCTCGCCACATCCCTTGGTGATCTTGACCAAATTCCTCACATAAATTTGAGGAGAAATTATTAGATAAATTTGATTTATTGATATTTGATGGATCAATTAAGTTTATTATGAGATTAAAAAAATAATCTAATAGAAGTGTATTAAAATTTTAATATATTATAAAAAATTTGAACGTTTTTTTTTTTCTTTTTCTTTTTTCTTCTTTTGCACCTTGTTGGAAGATGATCAAGGACAGTGTGATGTGCACACTTTTGTTTTGGATTATTTCATCTCTACAGATAATATTACTTGAATTGTAGTTTACTAAATAGCACGTTCTTGGTTTTTTTTTTTTTTTTCTTCTTCTTCTCACTATTTTTTAAAATTTTATTTTATTTCATCAAACTTGTCGTGGTAAAAGTATTAACAAGGACAAGAAATGACAATACATTTACGAAACATTTAATTCCCGAAGATACTCCTGATCACTAGTTATTGTCTGCACTTGTGTTTTAATTTGTGATACCTAAACTGGAGTTAGTTGATGTAGATGTTTGCTTTCTTCTCGTCTACCATTCAACATGTCAACACTCAAATGTATATATAGTCATGGTGAGCCTAAAGGCTAAAGCACGTCCAAATCTTTTTTTTTTTTTTTTTTTGATGTACAGTTTCATCCAAATCATAATAGTTATTTGTGATATTTGTTTTATATATTAAAAAAAATAAAATAAAAATAATGGAAAGGATGAATGAGTTTCATACATGATTTTGGAGAAAAAAAAAATCATATTTGAAAATAGACTTCAAAAGTTGGACTTCTTTGTCTTACTAAATTTGTATGGGACTCAATTATTTTTAATGCGTGCATTATCTAGTAGCCTACAACTTTCCGAGCCGGGTGTGCCATGATGTTCAAATCCTCCTCCCCTAATTTGCTTAGTAATTTTTCTTCTTATTTACTTCATTTGTCATTTATTTTTCTATATATTCAAGTTTTAAAATATTAAGTATTAAATCATTGTATTGAATAAAGTTCAATTATATGATTAGATGAGAGACCCAGAGGTACTCGATATATTATTGAACTTTCGTCTCTGATATTGGTTATACATTACCCAGGACCACTGTGAATTATAGATCTCATAGGATTCCAATTTCCAGAGCAATGACTAATTATTTGGACAGTTGCTATGTAGGCCTAGCCCAAAATGACTGACCCGTGATGAATATAAACATCCAGCCAGTTTAGGCCCAATAAGGAGTCTAAACAGGGTTTTTTTTTTTTTTTTTTTTTTTTTTTTTAAGACAAGGAGGGTTAGAAGTTAGATTAGTAAGTGTAAAAAGTCGAAACTCAGCACTCTCAAAATTCACCGAAGACATTGGCCACTGTGCTATCGAGACAAGGAGTCTTAACAGTAAGAACATCTTTCTCACACAAAGCCCAACTTTATCTACTTCATTTGTCATTTATTTTTCTTAAGTAATGAAATGGTTGGGATAGATTAAAATATAATTATTTTTTAATTATATATATATATATATATCCTACAATGCTCCCACTGCTACGTGTGACCTTGTGCTTGCATGCATGTGACAGCGGTGCTACATTTGATTTTGTACATGACACGTGTATCCTAAGAAAATCCTCACACAATCTCTGTCCATCTGTGTGTGTGTGTGTGTGTATGTATAGAGGTTGATATTGACGCGAGAGAAAGAGAGAGGGAGAGGATGGAAGCAAACGAAGAAAGAAAGGAGGAGGTGAGGAAAGAAGAGGAGATGGAGAAGAAAGAGCATGATGCAGCTGATAGAGAAGCAATTTTGGGTGATCCAATCGCCAAGGCTAGGGAGGTGATTCGTGAAGCTATTATCACTCAAAATGGGGACAACGACGGTGGGATGAAACACCCTGATGATGTTCTTGCTTTCTCTCGATCTGTCAATAACATCGACTCCTCGCTTGAGTGACCCCACTCAATTCATGTGTGTGTTTGTGTGTTTATGTTCTTACGAATTCATACTTAGTTTTAACTTTGAACTGTTGTTAGTGGTTAATTAGTGTTCAGTGACGATAATAAAAGTCTCTTTATATCTTTATTTATTTATTTATTTTTGTTCAATTGAGAGCATATATATGACCAAACTATTGGACCCGTTAAAATTAAGCCTTTTGAAAAAGTGTACGTGAAGCCCGCAATCTTCGAAATGGACAAGATTCTCTATAGTTTAAGAAGAGAACCAGCACAGAATTTAACAGTTAAGATTGAATTGAAAAATAGAATTCATTAGTAATTATTTAACTTCAATCACTGAATTCTTTGTAGGATCTTCCTGTGTTAAGAGGTCTAGTATAAAATTTAGTGGTTAAGACTGAATTGATAAATGAGATCCATTAATAATGATTAGGGATGTCAATTTTTATCGCACCGTCGAGGTCTCGCTCCGTCCTGCCTTATTAATAATTGATATGAGAACACTTTTTATACTGTTGGGGCGAGCATAGATACAAATTTTGTATCCGTCGCGGGTCACAGAGCAGGTAAGGGTTTAATATATATATCCTAGGGGCCTCGCCCCACCCCACCCCTCTAAGCATATATATATATATATATATATAACTTATTTTAGCGGCTTACCCAGTTACCCATCTCTTACAATCTTAATTTGGGATGTAAACTTGGCATTAAATTTGCTTTTGTTTTGGTTATGGTAGAAGTTAGAGTTTAGAACTTCGTATGATTTGGTTGTATTAAACTTTTATTTTTATTTATTATGTTCTCTAATTATGTTATGTACAAGTTATTTTTTTTATATTTTTGTTGGGATACATAATTTCATTTATATTGTGTCATTCTCAAGTTTTTCACATTTAAATAATAGGAGCTTAAGTTTCAAAAAGTGGGAGAAAAAAATTTGTTAGTGGGGTGGACACGAGGACACGGTATTTCTCAACGGAGTGGGGCTGGACATGAAAATCTAACCCGTTACGGATCTCGGGACGGGTATGGACTAAACAAAAATTAAAAGGGATGGGATGGAATTTAGAGAAACCCACCCCAATCCTACTCCGTTGTCTTCTTAATAATGATTGAGATTGATTTAATCTCATATTATTGAATTTTGTGAAGGACATCTTTTGCGCTGGAGGATCTTTAAGTGGAGAAGAGATTCAGTACAAAATTCAATTATTGAGATTGAATTAATAAATAGGAGGGAACAGTGACATTCTAAAAGTACCTTATCAGACTATTCAAAAACCCTCCTTTCGATTAGACAAGCCCTCAGTGGGTCGGCCTTGTCCCACGGTCCCACCAACCCCAAAGGACCACAGCCCTTGATACTTTTAAAATTTTGTGATTTTTTTTTGAAAGAATATTAATTTTACAGATTAATTAAAGTTTGATCAAGATTCATTTTATTTAATAAAATGGGATTCAAATTTAAATATCCAGCTGTTCAATGTCATCATTGAAATTCGAGCACGTTCGAATCACGTGAATGGTCATAACATGCAGTATAAAATAGAACCCTAATATAATGTGTGTCCTTTCAATTCATATATTTCGTAATAAAATGTAAATCCATTAAATATCATGGTTATGTTTATCATGAAATTAAAAGATGCCATTTTAAAGTAGCTTGCCCAAGTAGTTGAAAAAAATGGTTTTGTTGTAGTTATTCTTGTTCTATGATTTTCCATTAAAAAATGAACTCAAAATACTTTTCCACTTACAAAAAGTGTTTACTTTTTGT